AGTCGAATTTTACCAGGTGAGCCATCTTGGGACCAATCCCTGGAAGCGACAATAGGTCATCCAAAGAACTTGGAATGTCACCGTTATACTTCACTAGACAAATTTTAGCTATTTTCTTCATATATGTAGCCTTCCTTGTATAAAATCCAACCTGAAAGTAAAGGCAAACAGTTTATTTCATAATGAAGATGTTACTGCGAATTATAGTCTCTCACTCCTTTCCTCATCTCCCACTTTTTTGAGAAATTGGCATGAAAATGACCTCACCAACCTCAAGAAGTAAGATGAAACTTGGATGATAACATACCGGGTAGATCAAATCTCTTATGGTTGATTCATCAGCTTTGTCAATGGCTTCAGGGGTGAGAAGGCCGTTTTCATGAAGACGATGGATTGCAGCTGCATATTGAATAGTAAGTATTGATTTCTAATCAGGAAACTTGTAAATGCAGATGATATGAGTGTATATACCAGAACCGGTGAAATAGTTGTTCCTTTAACAGCACAAAACTCACCGTTATTAACTTGATCTTTTGTCTGACTTGAAAGTAGTGATCCTAACAAAACAGCAAATCTTCTTTCCTAGAGATAGTAAACAAAAAAATATGATCAGTAGTGAAACAAGAACAACCATCTCTCTGCTTTTAAGCATAACTTGGTCTTCTCAAATATGAGGACAACAAAGAAAAGAGAAGCCAAAGGTGTTTTCCTAAACTATTCGCTAGCCGTAATTACATCAAAATTTACCAGAGACTTGAGGAAAAATGTGCTTTGTACGGTAAACAAACACCTCAAGCACAAAGAGCTAGAAAGTCAGAGTAATATCATAAGCACACCTCCACACAAAATCCAATCACTAAAGTTGAGGAAGATAATCATACCGAAGGAGGAAGAAAACTTCCAGCTTTATCGCAACCCATAGAATCAACTGGTGCATCTTCAGAAGATCTCATTTGACGAATACCATCTAACACTTTTACCCAGTTTTCAGGCGGATTTCCTAGAGTAAAATCATAACGTTAACACATAAGCAGTTTCCATGAATGAAGAATCGGTAAAGTAGAAACCTCGCCAACTCTTTCATTTAGAAATTTGCTGCGTGATAACATACCTGCTGATTTGACTGAAGTCACAGTGATGCTAGTTTCCGTTGATCTCCCTGCAAAAACCAAGTAAAGAATTTCTCTTGGCTGTTTAAGGAAAAGGCTGAGAATGTGCTTGATGATAAAGTATTGCCTTTTTGCGACTAGTATGGAAAGTAGTGATTGAAACCAAGTTTACTGAATAGGTAGGAATGTGAAAGTTCTGAGTTATATAATGAGACTTACTGGTTGAAGAAGATCCAGTTTTCTTTTTGANAGCAAATTCTTCTATATCAGGTAATCCACATAGCTGCTGCATCATTAAATACGAGAAAACCAAATCAACACAGAAGACACTAAATATTAATAACAACACAAGGTAAATACATGCTCATGAAACAGATGCAAAAACACTAATCAAAGTTTCTCTCATTTTGCTGAAGCAATAACCAAGGCAACAAAATCAGAAACACTCCAATCACTAACTTCAAACTCAAATGGTTAGGTAAGATTAACTTCAAAACGAACTAAGCTAAAACTCACTCCCATGAAATTACCACACTTGATCAAAAGAATCGCAAATTTCCATAACATTGTTCTACAAAATGATCAAAAGAGTCGAAATTTCCAAAGCTTACTTTGTGGGTATTGATTCCTTTGCCGGAATCTTTATCCAAAGCTTCCAATTTTACTCTTTTCTTCCGGATATACACTCGAGTCTCCGACCCAGAAGCTCTATTGGCTGGTTCCGACACTAAAAACAGTTTCGTAACAACAATCTAACAGTCTATGCAACGAAACAACAAACAACAAAACAAAATTTCCAGGGAATTTGAACAGTTGAGAGCGATAGATAGAAAGAAGACCTGGGTTTGTTGAATCCGAGCGAGAATGTTGGGTTTTCGAGGAATTGGGTTTACAAGAAGATACAGGTCCGTAAATTTGAGGATTCATGACCCGAATCGAGTGATACGAGCTGCGTTGTGAAGGGTAGAAGAAGAAACGGCTCCGATTAACGATAATAATCATAGAACAATTATGTCTGTATCTTAAACATTTTACTTTACAACATTATTATTATTAAAGGGATTGAGAGAATTATTTTAATTAAAAACAAAAAATTAACACAGAAAAGAAGCACTATTATAAAATTCCTTTTTTATAGTCTCGAGACTGATA